CCGTCAAACTGGTCAATGATTGCACCATAAAGACGTAAATGATAGGCTTGGAAGAGGCCTGTTTTTCAGCCCAGCACCCAGCATCAAGCAGGATTTTCTTCTACACTAATGTTAAAAGCATTTTATCTGTGCTGTATCATTATACTATAAACAAAGGCAACTCGGCAACTGCATAAACCAAGCGCAGCCCGAAACCTACTCGCCTGCACTACAGCATTTTCCTCCCTCACATCTAACCTGCACAATTTATTTTCTTTATACCTGGCCAACAACTCTACTGTGAATCCCTATGGCATGTATATAAACTAATAAGCCTAAAAAAATGCCATGTTACCCAGACTCCAAGATAACAGCAGTGTGGACTTTCCGACTTGAGAGTTCAAAGGCTGATATTCCCCTGGAGGTGCGACTAATGATGGGAATGCTGCTATGCAGAAATACCATTCATCTTTTTTTTTTTTTTTAAGATTAATCAATAAATAATAATTTTTAGCATGTACCTTTCTAAACGCACCTTATAAACACTGATGAGTAACTAAGTCATGGTTAATGCCTATATGTGACATTTCTGGCAAAGCTTTGCAGTTTCTCAGTCGTGATTTGAAGCAAGTTGTGTAGCCCAAAGCCCTACAGAGCTTTCAGCCTTTACTGTGCTTTGCTTTCAGTCTTAACAGATACTGTGGGACCTTTACAAGAGCCAATGAAGGCATGAATCTTGTGCCTGTTTAGAGACTTAGTTTACATGCAACTACTTTATTAGCTACATATGGTTTATACTGATATGACAACTTGTGAAAACACATATTCAGTAATTAGACAATCTAGATAAGAGCTATTTCACATAGATGATAACTGAACAAAGCAAGCAGACTAATCATTCACTTCTTAAACAAAAGTATATATATATGTGCACAGCAAGAGATACTGCTTTGGATGGATTTTGTTTAAGTCAAAGAAAATAATCAGTTTGGAATGACCATGCGTGACACTGCTAACCGTCCTGCTCTACAATTTAATCATGCATTAGAAATCTGGAAAACAATTCCAAGTGCAGCTATGGACTCTACAGTAGAACTAAGCATATTGCATTTTTTCGCCTTCATTAATTTAAAAGTTTTTCCTGTGCATCTTTTCTAAAATAATTTCGCCACCAAGAGTTCTCAATTTTTGTGTTTTAAGATTTTTTCCTTAAGCATAGTCACCTTTAATTTTTATGATATTTAAAAAACCCTGGCGTTCCATTAAGTATCAGAGCTCTATAAGTATGTGCTAACTAGTATTTTTCCTACTTCACTGCCTCCCCTCTAAACTTAGGCAATGACACTGTGATGCTCCTTCCTGAAGTTTTGAGGCACTGAAGACTTGATGGTGCTGTTTGTTACAAAGTTATTCATAGTGCACATGCAATTCTGTCCATCTACTATTTATCAAATAGAAACGTTGAATTTCTCTGCCATTTGGGAGTTGCAGGGGTTTTATAAGAGTCAGAGTGCAGTGCTGGGTACAGAATCAAGAAGTGCTGGCATTGCCTATATAAACAACCTGCACTGAAGAAGGGTAACTTGATCGAAATTGAGTAACCGTTTTCAGTGTTTCTCTGGCAGTTAGCCAATAAATACCTCCTTAATTTAATTTTTAAGTTCAGTGATGTTTCCACTGCTGTTTATTTATTACAGAATAATATTACAGAATCTCTAAGCGTAAGACCACCAATAGGGAAGAAGTAAGGCAGCTCTAGGCTTTGTTTGCTGCCGTCAATGAAAACACCCTTTGAAGAAGGCAGTAGCTTCGCTTCCTTAGCCCAAGCAGTTTCCACATAAACAAGAGAACCTCCTCAGTGCAAAATTCCATACGAAATAAAAATCAGCCTAGAGTTCAGAACTCTTTCAAGCACGAGTGACCCATTTCAAGGGCACAGCAAACACACACTCTCACTTCCACTACCGAGCTATGGAAATAGCTTGAGAACAGTCACTTCTTTAATTTTGTTGTTTTTTTTAAAAAAAGGGAAGCAATGATACCATCACGAAGTGAGTCTGATAGCATATCTTAATGCCTTTTTAAAACAACAACAACAACAAAATTCAAGTAAATCACAACTTTTCTTTGTAGGTTGCATTACAAGCGAGCTCCCCTTTGTAAGCAGCACTAGCACTTGTGCCCCCTGAAGCTCAATATCCCCGAATACAGACTGCTCGGGACGTGTGCCGTACAAAACAAAACCTCAAAGTAGTATTTGATCAGGTTAAAAGCAAAAGCAGCGCTCCGGGGCCACGGCTGTGCGCGGGCAGGAGGAACCCCGCTCTGCGGGGTCAGGCGGGAGCAAACAGGCGCTGGTGCCAACACCGTCACAAAGCTGTTGGCCCCAAGCTCAATATCCCCGAATACAGACTGCTCGGGACGTGTGCCGTACAAAACAAAACCTCAAAGTAGTATTTGATCAGGTTAAAAGCAAAAGCAGCGCTCCGGGGCCACGGCTGTGCGCGGGCAGGAGGAACCCCGCTCTGCGGGGTCAGGCGGGAGCAAACAGGCGCTGGTGCCAACACCGTCACAAAGCTGTTGGCCCCGGGACCGCGTAGAGCGCGAGTGGCGCAGCCAAAACCCAAGCACGGGGCTGGGCTGGATCCAGACGCGCGCTCCCCTACGCGCGCA